TAGACAAAGAGTGTGCGTTTGACTTGCACTGTCGCATTAATGGCCCTTCGTTCATTTTCAACTTCTATTCAATGTTCATACTGTCGTACTCTAACGGAACTATCTACATCTCCTCTTCTAAGACCATTCTCTAGCTAATATATCAAAAACAACATGTGAAAAGGGCCTACAAGCATTTTGTAAACAAACCTTCTTAAGCCATTTTCTCGTCACCCATATGACACCAACGCAACCCATTAACATCACCGGGTAGGGGGAACTTTCTCCTTCCCGATGATATTGTTGGTATGCATGGGCGTTCCTCGGATGGCGAGAAAAAGGGCCTACAAAGGTTTGTTTACAAAAAGCTTGTATGCCCTTTTCACATGTGGCTCTTGATATATAATCACACTAAAGCTTCATGTTCGATAGCATTTCCATCCAACTCTGAAAAGAACACGGATAACAGTATAAACTAAAAAGAGGTATAGTTAATCAGTTTTTGAAGGTGCGTTTGGTTTTAGATCAAGTGCTTAATAAAAGAAAAAAAACAGGACCTAATAACAGAAAAGCGTTAATGAATTATGCTCGGATAAGGTGCACATAGCTACCATTATACACTGAAAGCGAGCGATCATTTGATCTGCTGATATTTGAGTTTGTGCAGCACAAAATTACCGTAGAATATTACATCTATCAAAAAACTCATCCTTCCTTATCAAAATCTCATTATTAGGAGTAAATCTATGCTCCTTCGCAGGCTTACGTTTTAGTCTAACTTTTACAACTAGAGTCAACCCTGGCAAACTTCATAGTTTTGCAATGTGGTATGTGCGAGAAAATCACACTTTTTTCCATTCAAACTAAAATTTAGCCTATTTTACTAAAACTATACGTTCAATAATTTTGGTCAATTTTCAAGTGTCCATTGTGACCATTTAAGAAAAGTCAGCAATTTTATAAGCCTTCATAAGTTTGAAATTTTTAAAAATGTACTGTGTTTGTTATTGAAGTTTTCATCAGTTTTTTTCTCTCTAAATTGATATGGAACATGTAATAAGTTTATAAAATTTATTCACAATTATCTCTAAAATGTTTGTACTTGTATCATTTTAAACCATGACTAGCATTTGATGAGAAATACTTCACCAGGGTGGCAGCTTATTTTTTAGCATTCATTACTGAAAAATGTCACTTTTCGACACTGTTTTGAATAACATAATGACCTACTTTTCATAACTTAAATAAAAGTGTTAACACTCTTATGAGTGCAAAAAATGTGGTATGCAGCTCGTGGGATTTTTTCAACACTCGTCGTACTAAAGGGTGATACGGTCAAAATTTGGTCAATATCAACTTGACGTATTTCTTTCAATTTTGCATTTAAAAAACCTGAACACCCCTCATTTTGAAGGTGTGTGTGTGTAGAATGTTGCTCCTATTTTGATTTTGGAATTCACTCTTCAGTTGTCAAAATGCCGTCCAAGCAAGAAGAACAGCGTATTAAAATTTTGCTCGCGCATCGCGAAAATCCGAGCTACTCGCACGCAAAGTTGGCAAAATCGCTAAAAGTTGCCAAATCAACCGTTACAAATGTAATTAAAGTGTTTGGGGAACGTTTGTCGACAGCCAGGAAGTCTGGATCGGGGGGAAATCGAAAACCGGAAGCCGCTGAGACGACAAAGAGAGTTGCCGGTAGTTTCAAGCGAAACCCTAACCTCTCTCTCCGAGATGCCGCAAATAAGCTGAGTGTATCGTCTACAACCGTGCATCGAGCCAAAAAACGAGCCGGACTATCGACTTACAAGAAGGTAGTGACTCCAAATCGCGATGATAAACAAAATACGACGGCCAAATCGCGATCCCGGAGGCTGTACACGACGATGCTGACGAAGCTTGACTGCGTGGTAATGGACGACGAAACCTACGTCAAAGCCGACTACAAGCAGCTTCCGGGACAGGAGTTTTATACGGCAAAAGGAAGGGGAAAGGTAACAGATGTTTTCAAGCACATGAAACTGTCAAAGTTCGCAAAGAAATATCTGGTTTGGCAATCCATCTGTACCTGTGGCTTGAAAAGCAGCATTTTCATAGCTTCCGGGCTGTCAACCAAGAAATTTACGTGAAAGAGTGTTTGAATAAACGTCTGCTGCCTTTCCTGAAGAAACACGGTTGTTCCGTACTGTTTTGGCCGGATTTGGCATCTTGCCATTACGTTAAAAAGGCCATGGAGTGGTACGCCGCCAACAACGTGCAGGTGGTTCCCAAGGACAAGAACCCTTCCAACCAGTGCTGCAAAATTTCGACAATACACGGTGATACTCAAAATTCTGCTTTGGTCACTCGTTTGAGCTAACAGTCATCGTCAAGGCAAACCATGTCAATTGTCAGTAGCATTTTTGTCAGTGACGAACATGTGCTGATTTGTTTATTAGCTAATTTTGAAATGAAATTAAATGGCTTGAGCAAAACAATTACATGGAGCCATTATAGTGATTAAGCATCTACGTCCTGAACCGCTTGGATAACAATAATGTGTCTTAGAATGCAAGAAATTACACTTTCTGTTACCAGGTGAATCTTTGTCATTGACGAAAAAATGAATGAGATTTTGACAAAGATTTTTTTGAGGATCAAGTCTATCATTGACTATGTGAAAAACAATTTTGTCAATATCGCTCAAAAGTCTGTCAATGACAATGACAAATCTCAGCACTGCTCCCAACACGCCAGAGCTCCGCCCAATTGAGAAATACTGGGCTATTGTCAAGCGGAACCTAAAGAAGACCAAAAAAACTGCTAAGGGCGAGCAGCAGTTCAAGGCAAACTGGCTTTCTGCGGCGAAGAAGGTGGACAAGGTGGCTGTACAAAATCTGATGGCAGGGGTCAAGCGTAAGGCCCGGCAATTCGGATTTGGAAAAGCGGAAGCCTAACTGAATATTTTTCCTGAATTTTATACCAATTGAACTTGAAAAAGAAATTTAATTTGATTTTTTAAATTAACGATTTCACCGATTTACACGCGTTTTCCCTTGACCAAATTTTGACCGTATCACCCTTTACGTACTATGATTCACGTTGAAAAATTCTTCTTTTTGAAACGTGATGCATACATAGCTATTTCATTAGGATGTTCCTTTTGATATTAAAAAATAAATAAAATCAAAATACAAGCAGACATCATAACCAGTGATGGAAAAATCAAAAATCCAAAATCAGGAACGGCCGAGAATCGCTGCTGATCTTATCTTAGCTGATCTTGAGAGTAGCAAAATCACATAGCAGAAAATCAAGGCTGATATTATCTTAGCTGATTTTGAGGTAACAAAAACCAAACGGATAAATCAATAGCTTGGTATACAGCCAAAGTAAAAAAAAAAACGAAATCCACCGCCATTTCGGAATCCAATATGGCAGACCAAAATACAATATGGCGGCCTACGAACAGGGAATATTCATCTAAACCCATGCAATATGGGTTTCTACGGAATGCGCTCGATGAGGGAAAGTGGAAAATTGACATCCGTCGCCATTTTGGAATCCAATATGGTAGACCAAAATCCAATTTTGGGAAAATGGCAGCGGGTGGCAATTTCCACTTCCACTCATCGAGCCCATTCCCCAGATACCCATATTGCATGGATTTAGATGTATATTCCTTGTCCGGGGGCCGCCATATTGGATTTTGGTCCGCCATCTTGGATTTTAAAATGGCGGCGGATGTCAATTTTCCACTTCCACTCATCGAGCACATTCCGTAGATACCCATATTGCATGGGTTTAGATGCATATTATCTGTCCAGGGGCCACACATTGGATTTTGGTCCACCATCTTGAATTCCAAAATGGCAGCGGATGGCAATTTTCCACTTTCACTCATCTAGCCCATTCCGCAGATACCCATATTGGGTGCATGGGTTTAGAGGCATATTCCTAGTCCGGGGGCCACCATATTGGATTTTGGTCCGCCATCTTGGATTTATGGAAGCCATCTTGGATTTAATTTCATCCGGAATGTTGACTTGAATTTCGGAATGCCTCAAACTCAAGAATTTAACATGTGTCTTCTAATCCTATGATTTTCGATGATTTTGATCTTGGCTGATATTGATGCTGGTTGATTTTGGGAACCGAAAATCACGGCTGATATTGGTCGAAAATCACGTGTGATTTTCGTGGTGATGATGGCTTGTGATATTGGTGCCTGTGATTTTAGGTGATATTGATCTTGAAAGATTGCTGATTTTTATTTTCTGATCTTGCTTTTTAAACCAAATTTATCGCCATTTTGGATCAACCATTGTGAAAATAAACCAACATCCAAGAATTTAAATGGCAGACCTTCCCTGAACATCAGCAGGTGTTTGGCAGGCCTTCCCTGAAGCTCGGCAAAACTTCCCTGAACTTTGGAAGAACTTCCCTAAATTTAGGAAGAACTTCTCTGAACTTTGACAGGACTTCTCTGAACTTTGAAAGGGATTTCCCTTAAAATTCGCAGGACTTCCCTAAATTTTCGCAGGACAAATGTGAACTTTAGCGTACAAGCAATTTTTTTTCCAGAATGAATGATTTTCTAGCCACATTCTAGTACATTTTCAGAAACAATTGTTGTTCAAGAATTCAGCAGGGATAAAAATTACAAAATTATTTTAAAAACCTTCCGTCGACCACATCGCAAAGTCTGTTCAAGCGGTGAATTATCACAAGCTTTGCATGCTTTTTATGCAAATCTGTAATAGAATCTTACATTTTTCGGTTGAGTGAAATGTTTGCAAGAAACTTGTCAATCAGTGATTGGCCTGCGGTAAAATTCGAGTGCTGATTTCTTACCATTTAATATGTCCACCAATCCTGCAGACATTGCCAATCACAGAAAAATAGTCGCAGAACGTTTCTTTTGTTCGAGCGGCGTCCGATTATTTTGATTAGCAAATCAGTGATATCATTCCACCCAGCCACTGCCCAAAACGAACAACAACTCACACTCACCAGTTCCATTCCAATCGTTCTTCCTTTTGCAGATGGTAGCAATGGCAAATCCAGCCGACAATCCGGAACCTCCAACGATAGCCACCAGCACGGTTCAGGAGGACAAGCTGTCCGCCAAGCCACTCAAGTCCAGCAACGAGAGCCTCAACTCGGACGCCAATGGAAACCCGAACCCACTGACGCGCAAAGCCGCCATCGTGCAGATCACGATGGCCATCGTCGCCAACATCACCATCATCTCGTCCGGAATGGGGCTGGGATTCCCTTCGATTGCCATGATTGAGCTCACCAACTCGACAAGCTCGGTGATGTTGACTGAGAATCAGGCCTCTTGGTTCGGTAAGTGTGCACTCGATGCCAATGCCGCTATCGCTATGAAGATAATCTGTACGCTAATTGTAAAGCAAGGCAGCCTCCATCGCAATCGGTTTGGCTTTGATTGATAGCCTCTAGTTGGCACGATTCTCCGGATTTTATGATGTGTGTTTGTTTGTTTATTGACTGATAAGTGATACATTCTTCTGTTTTTCCCTCCTCTCTGTTTTGGATTCATAACAGCTTCTGTGACATCAATTCTGTGTCCCTTTGGTGGATTATTGGCCGGTTTTCTGTTGGATAAGATCGGGCGTAAAAAGACGCTCTACTTCATCAACATCATTTCCGTCGTCTCGTGGGCCATGATGGCCTTTGCCAGTAAAACAGACGAGGTGCTTCTGTTTGTGGAATTGATGGTCGCCCGGGTGATTATAGGTGAGAATTCTCAAGTGGTTCGGTGATAATCATCGAACGCCTGACTAAATATGTTTACTTTGAGTTGAGTGCTAATATCAAAGCTAATCCATGCTTCAATTGTAGGACTTGCCATTGGGCTTTCCAGCTCACCTGCATCGGTCTATGCTGCGGAGATATCGCACCCTAATCTCCGAGGTCGTCTCACGCTTCTGACAGCGCTCTGTACCGGTATTGGAATGTTGGCTGTTTACACGCTGGGATATCTGTTCAAGGTGGGTGCCCTGTTTATTAGCTCTTTGATTATCAAGCACGGTTTTCTTAACGCAACCTCCCAAACACCAAACTTATTCTGAACTCTATTTCAGGATGACTGGCGCTTCGTCTGCATTTTGTGTGGACTCTTCACACTCGTGTCGCTTGTGTCGGTGATGCCTATCCCGGAGTCACCGAGCTGGTTAGTGGCCAAGAACAAACTTCCCAAAGCGGAGAAATGTCTCAAGAAAGTCCGAGCCATCAAGGAGAACAACCATCCCAAGATTAATGAAGAGCTGGATAACCTAGCCAAAAACATCGCCCGTTTCCGCTCCAACCAGACAAGCAACTCCAAATTTGCCATGCTTCGTAAGCCGGAGGTCTACAAACCGCTCACCATCATGTGCACGTTCTTCTTCTTTCAACAGTTCACCGGAATCTTTGTCATCATCGTGTATGCCGCCCGGTTCTCCATCGAAGCCGGAGTCAGTATTGATCCGTTCCTAAGCGCCGTATTTGTTGGCCTGACTCGTGTCGTAACGACCATCCTGATGAGCTACATTTCCGACAGCTTCGGTAGACGTCCACCAGCACTGTTTTCCGGTTTTGGAATGGCTACCTGCATGTTCGGGTTAGCGGCCTGCACCGTCTACCCGGTAAAGGGAACTGATCTCCAATGGATTCCAACGTTCCTATTGGTGGCATTTATCTTCTGTGCTACCCTTGGATTCCTAACGCTCCCATTCGCGATGATCGCCGAAATGTTCCCGACAAAGGCACGTGGTTTCCTAGCCGGGCTGACCATCTTCGCTGGCTATACTATGTCGTTCATCATCATCAAGATTTACCCGGCCATGGTTCACACCTTCGGTAGCGAGTACGTGTTCCTATTTTTCGGAATTATATCCGTCATCGGAATTGGATTTGTTTACATGTTCCTACCAGAAACGAAAGGACGAACCCTAGACGAAATTGAAAGCTACTTCCGGGGTCCAGTGGACCCCGGCGAGGTGGAACTCAAGCAAAATCATGATCCTAAGGTTTGAAGGATTAAAAGAAGGCACCTTCCAAGCCGGCATCCTGTAAATGCCATAATATTAAGAACTGTGATATGCGGTAGCACTTACAATGTAAGCGAATAGTTACAATTAGAAAACCCGAATGTCAGTAATCTTAGGTACGAAATTCGCCGAGCGCTAGAAAATTTTGTACGTTTATTTTTGACATGTGCTAGCAAAAGTAGACGATATAGTGATTTGAGAAATGGAAAACAAATCAAACCTTGTTACAAGCAGACATATTTACAACTACACGAAATTCATCTTTTAGGTATAACAAGAATGATTTTTCTTGAAAACTTAATAAAAACCAGTACACTGCCGTATGCAACTCAGAAGGCAAAGTTACTTATCATCATGATTGTGAAAGTAGTGTTTGTTATTGGAACCAAGTGAACGCCGTACTTTAAACAAGTGCACATAAGATGCACGTTGCATGCAGGTATCATAACGCTTAGCGTCCGTAATAAAAAAAAGACAAATTATACAATCCAAATGCCTGGTTCTGATTTGTCAATTGAAAGAAGTCACTTATTGCTATTGAAAAATTTCTTGCCCCTTCCTTAACATTTAGTCGCAGCCACCCTGTGTTTGGTTGGTTGGTTGTCTTTATTTAGGAGATTTTCAGCCAGACGCTATACATCCTGTGTTTGTGAGATGACACTAAACAATACAAAAACCGGCATTCCCAAATCCTTCACCAGAGGGGACTTTACCCATAATTTCTAGATGAACCTGACTGAAGACTGAAAGTTTGTGTAGGGGAATGGCTCTATTGTTGGCCTAGGGATCTAATGATTCGATAAAAATATCCTGTTCTTAAATTCAAGAGCAAATTTTCAAATAGGTGTATCTGCTTTTGTAAGCAAAGATTCAAACGTCAATTTGTAGAAACTCTTAGCTCGCCCACGCAGGTTGGGTAAAGTTTCCACAACAACCGAGCTAAGAGTTTCGACAAATTGACGTTTCAATCATTGTTCACACGGCGAATGAGAACGACTCAAATTTGAGTTTAGTTCACTCATAATCGCCAAAAGTGCAGGAACTTAGCGATGAGTAAAATTTGTCTTATGGTTTCCTGTGGAAAACCTAAAAAATCTGCCGGAAAATGAGGAAATTGACGAAAATTTTATTCACTCTCGGAGTAGTACCAATAGACTGAGTGAATCCAATCTTTACTTTTCTCAAATTCAGGAATTTTTCCCTGGAAAATCCTGGAAAAACCTGGGAAAACAAACACCAGGCAAATTAACTCATCGCTGAGTTTCTGCACTTTTGGTGATTATGAGTGAACTAAACTCAAATTTGAGTCGTTCTCATTCGCCGTGCACACAAGCAGATACGGCTATTTGAAAATTCACGCTTGAATTTTTTTTTAATGCGTCAACTGGACAATACAAATGTATATTTTTGATTGCTAAGTGAAAACTTGTCAAACAAATGCATTCCTTTGATTTTTATGAATGGGCCCAAAATTAGGGACATTAACCCTACAAAGCTAAGCAAAAATGTCCCATCATTTTGAGACTACTAACGAAATGTTTAATCGAGGGCACTTGCGTTTGATTCTCCTGGTCAAATTTCTCTCAGTCTTTGTATGGATAAATATCGAGATAAAAATTGTTTGCTCAAAACCTCTGAAGAAACATTTCAGTAGTAGTCTCAAAATGACAAGAAAGGTTAAATGGTGAAGGTTTCAGGAATGTAGATTTTTTTTGTTTTAATATTACTTATATTTTTTTTAACACAAACAGGTAGATTAATGGTTCCCCTATCACTTGGTATAGTTTGTTCACGAGATTGTTCTTTTATACGCGAGAAATCAGCGATTGACATGTTTGTTTACAAAAGCAATTACGCCCAAATCTAAAAGTTCTCTGCACACTAATGTAGGCCTCTGCCGATCGGTAAATTTTGGACTACAGAACTGTTCGGTAAAAGTTTGAAAATCTTTTAAAAATCCAATAATTACTAAATGTATTCCTTACTTGTACAGACTTTATTTAGTTTACCCCATTTAACTATAAAAAAATAAAATTTGTCAATTTTATTAATTTGTCAGTTTTACCGGGTTTTTGAACAGCAGATCAAGTCGGTAAAATTTTCAAATGACCGTTAAATCATTTGAAAATTTTACCGACTTGATCTGCTGTTCAAAAACCCGGTAAAACTGTACTGACTTCGGTGATCTGAATTAAGTGTGCGGATTTATCAATTTTATCTAGTTGAACGCGTCATTGGGATGGTACTAATGGATATTTTTGGTCGTTATTGAATATTCAGTCGATTGCTGAATTTATGTATGGGCCCAAATTAGGGGCATTTAGGCCGACATTCCCGAGGGGGCGACACATCTAAATCTCAATTCTAGATGCTCAAAAAATCTCACACTAGCGAATAAATCTTCGAAAAATCTTCTTTCATTTCTCGCATCTACTTGCATCGCGAATCATCTTTTTGCAGGAAATCTTCAAAATCGTGATAAATCTTCTTTCTATCTACTCAGGGCACGCGCAGCTAGCCACAGCAAAACACAATATTTCCTGCATCGTAGATAGAGTCGTCCCCCTCGGACATTCCATCAATTTCCCCTATCGCTTGAAACAGCTTCATAACGGGTGATAACTAAAAAAACTGAGAATTGCTTCAACTCTCTCATATAAAACCACAAATGTACACAAAAAAGAGACAGCTTATCAATGCGCTCTCTCTCTCCACAAAACTGTAGAATTTTTAATTTTGTTTTTACTTGCTCATTTGTGTTCAAAGTGGCTTCAAAACAAGAAGCACTTCGTAAGCAGATTGTACAGTTCTTCAAAAAAGGCGAAAATCGTGGGAAAAGTTTACGGTGGATCATTTCAAATCAGAGAATGTACACATTTCTACTGTTTATCGTATTTTGGCATCCTTGACAACAGTTCAGAGGAGGGGTAGTGAAAAACCAAAAGGACTTCGATCGCCAAACAATACGGTTGTTGTTGAACAAAGATTCGATAAGTCAGCGGGACGCCGCGAAAAAGTTCAAGTGCACGCAACCTCACTTCTGTGAAACGTTGAAAAGGATAGCAATAGTTTGCCGAAAGAAATCAAACAAATTTCGAACGTGAAAATCCAAAACCGTTGGATGACAAGAAGTTACTCAGGAAAATGTTTCGATTTGGATGATGAAAGTTACTTTCCTCTCTGACAATCTCACATTCCTGGAAATTATCGATACTATTTAGATAATAGTTGTACAACATCTCCAAATGTAAGATTCAAGTTCAAATACAAGTTTGAACAGAAAGTAAAGTATCGGAGAATGACCATCAGCGTACAACGTTCAAATGTGCTGTAAACTAGTGTTATCATTCGAATTGCTTTGAATCCATCTGACCATGGATCGGATGATGATCATCTCCAAGTCATCTGATAATAGTAATCATGGTTGGGTGAAGCAATAATCATTCGATCATAAGATGATGTTTAGGTTCAGTGTAACTCAATTCTTCAACACCCAAAATAAAACTTACTATGGATGTATGCGCCTAAAGGCAGGCTGTAAATTTTACCGAGCATTGCACAATGGTCCCAATTTCGTATTTAGGAAGACAAAATGTTTGCGCTAAAACCGTTGATTTTAGGCATATGGTGTCTTCCGGAAAGTTTCTTCATATTTTTTGGCCCCCTTTTTTTTTGTTAGTGAAATTAGGGTGGTCCATAAAATTGGTGAATTGAACATGTGAACTTTTTTATTATGTGAGATAGATCAGTGCAATGTTCTAGAAAGTTGCAGAACAATCAATTTGCGGCACCTTTGCTGAAGCCATTAAACTTCCATCTCTTATGGTTCATGAGTTATGATTTTTTTAAACAAGCACGTTAGGGTGGCCCCTGTAAAATTGGTATTCTATGAATATCTTTTCATACGTTCATTTCTCGTAAAACAAATGTTCTAGACACTTTTAGAAATTTCAATGGCAAATATTTTTCTGGAAAACGCAGGTGGTGTAAAGAAGTCCATGAAGGTGGTCAGTGATGGGGAAGGTATGGTTTGTAAAACAGTCCCAGTAGGCCATGTTTGATGTTTTATAATATAAGCTAGCGTAAACTGTAGAATAAAGGTTATCTTTAATTATCTTTTCATACATTGATTTCTCGCAAAAACTTTGTTCTAAACACTTTTCGAACTTTTGGTGATGCACAATTTTGTCAAAGCAATTAAGATACTATCTCATTTGTTTGAAGAGTTATGGCAATAAAACAGCAAAAAAAGGTTATCTTTCATTTAATTCCACTTAATTAATTTTGGTATCCATGACATATACGTATTTCGACTACAATGTGCAGTCTTCATCAGTGTCATTCCCACTGCACACTGAGGACTGCACATTGTAGTCGAAATACGTATCTGTCATGGATACCAAAATTAATTAAGTGGAATTAAATGGAAGATAACCTTTTTTGCTGCTTTATTTAAGCATTCCGCTAACAAGCCAATTTCATTACTTCATGAGTTATAGCAGTTTTTTGCATAAAAATATGATTTTTTTTAAATTCAATTAAATGCTTTAAACAAAAATCGCTCTCGCAGTGAATGAACAAAATAATGATCTTTCAAATAGAATAAAAATCTTGAAAATCGGTTTGCTCCTTTTAGAGATATTGACAATTGAAAAATGCCAATTTTTTGAAGAAAATCACCTTTTACTTTCTAATAAAAAAATATAGCAACTTGGTTGCTTGAGCAAAAATATTTACCATTAAAAGTTCTAAAAGTGTCTAAAACATTTGTTTTACGAAAAATGAACGTATGAAAAGATATTCATAGAAAACCAATTTTTCAGGGGCCACCCTAACTTGCTTGTTTAAAAACATCATAACTCATGAACCATAAGAGATGAAAGTTTAGTGGCCTCAGTAAAGGTGCCGTAAATTGATTGTTCTGCAACTTTTTAGAACATTGCACTGGTCTATCTCACATAATAAAAAAGTTCACATGTTCAATTCACCAATTTTATGGACCACCCTAATTTCACTAACATAAAAAAAATGGTCAAACAATATGAGGAAACTTTCCCTAAGACAGCATATGCCTAAAATCAACGGTTTTATCGCAAACATTTTTGTCTTTCTAAATACGACTTTGGGACCATTGTGCATTGTATACTTTACTACTCTGCCTATAATCGCATATCAGTCCCATCTGGAAAATCATAAAGCTGAGAAAACGACACTTAAAGTTGGGTCTGCATTTATGGCTCTTTCTACTGTTTGGCATGGTCTACTTTAATGTTTTCAACATGATATTATGAAGTGGGTCTCAATGATAACTTTTTGAAGCAATGGCTGCGATTAGTGATCCACCGGAAACAGGAAACAGTGATTTAAATATTGATTCGGATGGTAGTATCTTTGGCGATGAGGGCGAAGGTACGTAGTCGGTCAGAAAATCATGTACGAAGCGAGGCAAGAGAACGAAAAAAGAAAATCTGAAAGATAACATTGCTGAAAAAC